AAAAATTACTTTAATTTAGCGTATCTAAATATTTTATAAGCGCATTTGGAGTTAGAGGCGAGTAAATTTAGTTGAGCGATTTCGTCCAAGCGCGAATTTTCGAAAGACGAAAAATAGTTCATAAAAGTTTCGAGAATTTCGTGGTCTCGATGAAATCTCAATCGTTTTGAGAATTTTTTGCTTGTGCCGGAACGGGCATGGTATTTCGTTGCTTCAGTGCTGAGTGAAGGCAGTCAATGGCAAAGAATTCCATCACAGGGATGTCACGTCAAAGCAGCACTTCGCTTTTACTTCCAGGAAAAATTTGTGTTCGAAATTTCGCAATAATATTTACTTAGTAAAAGTCTGTCTGCTGGCAAAATACATTTGTACATAAAAAATTACATTTGAAATCATAAAAAAATTAGATTTTCTGCGAGAACTTTAGTCTCGCGAAATTTTTTTTTTCTATGCAAACATCTCAAACCACGCAAAAATTCTTCCATCGGCTAGCAATGGCGGCATTTTCAGCGCTCGGCGAAAGTAATGACGCACAAGCGGCAAAGATTAGCATTTTTATTTCTCTTTCATATATTGCCACGCTGTTGTTTAGTGATTTGCATTTCGTTTTATTTTTTTTTGACATTTTATTTTCGCAAGAAGTGTACTAAAGAAAAATATTAAATAAATTTGTTTGTTTCTTTACACGCAGCCGCCACTCGCCGTCAGCCATCAGCAGCAGCGTATTCGAACATGCGCCGCCACTCTCATGCAGACATTTAATGAGTGAAAATTTTTTGTATATAATTTTTTTAATGAATTACAGCTCACCATTTACTCATTAACTAACACGGTATGTGTGTAAATATTTTTTCAGCAAATATATGCCCAGAAGGATTTATGCATATTGACTTGTCTGTTAAAAATTATGGCATAAATGCAAACAATAGGAAGTAGAGCAATGAAAAATGATAGACTGCTAAAAAAAAAAAAATTATTTATTATTATTTTTAAAGGGGTAAATATTTGAAAAGGTTAAGGTGAGCAAGCAGTAGGATTGTTGAGAAAACTCTTGCATATTTCTGTTTAACTATTCTATCATTATATCTATATTAAATAAAAGAAGCGAGTAACCTTCAAATTAGATTTAAAAAGTCAGTAACAACAATATTACTTCACGAAAAGTGAACAAGTGCGTGCCCATGTCATCAAGTAACACTCAACTGCGACAGCGGTGCGTTGATTTATTTTCCTTCTTTTGTAACAAGCAGAACAAATTTGACAGCTAACAGTCTGAGATTTGCCTGTGTAAACGGGCTGATTAAAAAAAAGTGCTTTGATTGAGATTATATTTATGTGTAAACATAATCCATTTTGTTCGATTCACACGAAGTATACGAAAAAAAGAAAAAATAAGCGAAGATGGAAATTCAAGCACACAACGCATCCTGTGTCAAGCTGGATTTGCTGCATGCTTGTGGGTTCATCTTAAGGACTACCCGTGCTTGCACTCGGTTTGCGCGAATTGCGGCGGCGAAATTTTGGTTTGTGTAAATTTAACAGCATGCAAATCATCATTAACATAGCACATACATTTGAATGGCCGGCCAGCTAAAGTGGGCTTATTTATAAACAAACGCAGCTAATTGATTTTTATTCGCGCGGTGCAAACAAGTGTAAATGGGCAATAAAAATCGAAAGTAAACATTGAAAGTACGCATATACACATGTATGTAGGCTAAATTAAGTGAAGAAGAACAGAGAACGCGCGCCAAGAGCAATAATAATGGAAATTATCAAAAAAGCAAAGAACAAAGTAAAAAATAGAATAAAGTTAAATAAATGACTGAAGAAAATTGGAGAAAAAAAAAACTTTTAATTTTAAAGAGAGTAATATGTAAAGTTGTCTGGCGGGCCGTAGCACAGTGGAACATTTTCGAATAAATTTGTTCAAAAAATGGCTGAAAGACTAATTTTGAAAATTGTCAAGCGGAAAATAGTGCTGACATTTTTTTTAATTCGTGCTTTAAAAATATTTTCTAAAATCCCTTCCAAGTATGTTAAAAAAAAAAAAGTTTACTAAATACAGCAAAAAATTTACTCTACCAGCAATTTTTGAACCATATTTGCGCGAAAATTGCCACTGTGCATTAACGATACTTGCATTTACATACTCGTATTTACATATGTTTGCATAAATCGCTTTGCAGTGTCGCCACAAATTGATCACTCGCACTTCGATTGCCAGTGTTGATCAGCGTTCGAGTTCGAATTAGCATCAAAAACAACAACAGCAACCACAACAGCTTTGATTGCTTCGACGATCATTTTATGTGTCGCCCGCTGCCACTATCGCTTAGTTTACAGTCTGGACTGGCGCGCGTTTCGCTTAAATGAATTTAAATTAACCGACACTCTGTGCGAATTTATAGAAAATGGTATGTACATATGTAAATAAATGTAGCAAGTAGATTCTATTGTGGCAACATCAACAGCCACTATTGTAGCGCCAGGCCATATTATTGATAGGCATACAGTCGCCTAGTCGACAAACCGATTGCAGCTCGTTACATCCAGTTTATGTCCAGTGTAATCCAATTCAATGACTTTTCATTAATTATATTTGGATAGTTATGCATCGTACATATGTGCAAAAGTAATGCGTGCAATTGCCAAGTGCAGGTTGCTGTGTATGGAATACAAATACAAGAAAGCTACACTCAAAGATGGTTGCTGACATTTAGGGTGGTTTAAATGAAATAATAATATTTTCTTTTGCAAGACGAATTGTGATTGAAACTTTGAAAATATTGTATTGTAAAGTATGTACATCGAACTCCGTAGTTCATAAGGAAATCGGTTAACGCAGAGCTGAGACTGATCGAGAAACGATTCAAAAAAGCAAGAGGAATATTTTCTGAGCTATTCCTAAGAAATGGCGAACCACTAGCTAGCTTTGGGAAAACTGATAGCGAAAAGTTTTTTATTTTTTTAATTTGAAAAATTTTTTATAATTAACAACTTGTTTAAAATAGAATATAAATCAAAAATTAGATTCATTAATTCATTAAATTTTTTTTTTTAATTTTTATTGAAAAAATATACTTCAAAACATGTTTATTGGTCCTGATAACACGAAAGGCTTAGAATTTTTTAATAAAAACACAAGTTTTTACTCAACTTCACTTTGTTTTTAATACATTAAGATGGCATTTGAAGCACCCTTTATATGTAAGCATGCGTTGACATCTCATCATTGGCCACACAATGCGCCGACCATCGACGTCATCGCTGACCGTCATCATCAAACCACATCACACATATGTACATCGTCATTTCATAATTTTACAAACGACAAGCAAACACATTTACGCATCACTTTTAGCAGATCAGCGGATCATGAATTTCCTTCTTTACACGCTTTGATCACTGGTCACTCGCTCCCCTTGTATGTATGTATGTATGTACACACACTTATACCAATGTGAAACAACACTTATTCTAACCACCTTTAAGTGCCAAATTTTTGCTTTTAAGTTTGTTTCTATTTAAGTTACTATATATAGTATATATGTATGTATACACTTTTCACTTTTCACATTTCACTTTTGGTACATACCCTGTCTCTCTGCTCCAACGTGCTCCGGCGTTTGCTGATGCAGTATTGCCCAGCAAATGACCCTATAGATTGTTCCGTTTTAGCTTATATTGTCCGAAAAATTTTTTGGTACTGAATCTTTGTGGAACTGTTTGAAATTTCCCCAAAAAAAAAAAACAGGTGAATACATATACATACATACATATGTATACGCACGCAGGTGCACACACTGGCGCAATTTTCGTATTGAAAAAGTTCCACACACAAAACGTACAAATGTATGTATGTATGTATATATGTATAAATATTGGGCATATTATGCTTTGTTTTCGCGGCATTTCTTTCTTGGTGGTTCTTTGGTCATTCACTCTAAATGGCTTTTGTTCGTTTTTATTGGAACGACATGCCACGAAAAAGTGTACGATTCTGTTGTTCCACAAAATATTTGTGCACAATTCTTTTCAATATGTTCCAAAACTGTGAACGAATCGGATGTTTCGATGAGCTGTTTGAAAATGGCATGCATTGTGAATGCGTGAAAGACGGTATTTAGATACGCCTGTGCGGAGTTCACTGTCATCAAGTTGAACGTCGTGTTCACACGCAACTTGAAGAACGCATGGAATGGACCATAATTCAAAATTTTCACAGCAAAAAAACAAGTGTATGTAGGTATTGCTGGTACCGCTAAAAGAAAAGTGCAAAATAAATAAAAGTATAAATAACGGCACAAAAGAAAAATAAATATGACCAATTTGTCATTTGCGAGACGCTTAGGAATCGAAACAGTCATCTTTGCGCCAATTTTTTAGTTTTTAAATCGGTATTTCGGCGCAAAACTGCTTTCCTCACTAAATTACTTTTCATCGGCTCTCTGTCAACTCCGCACAGGTGTAAAGACCGCCAAGGGAAATAAATTGTTTGCCTTCTGTTGGGACAAAAATTATTTTATTGAATTTCTAAAGATATTAATTGTATATATATGTATATGTAGCTCAGGTATGTGTGCGTTTTAGTTTATCTACTACGTAGGGAAGAGTAAATGTTGAACCTTGGGAGATAGTACTTTATTTATTCAAGCCGAGCTATTAGCTTTGGCGTAATAAGATAAGGTGATCAATACAATTTCTGGCGCGAGTTTGTGCTACAGCGTAAAGCTACGCCATATCCCCAAGCTTATGACTCGAACAAGGAAAACAAACGTATTAGTCAGTTGAATACTAACTAACATTGGTTAAGTTATACAACAACAATAACACGGCAAGTGGAATTATTAGGGTTCTGCCGAGGCATGCAATATCTACAACTATAAATTTAATCAGCATTCCAATCGATATCAATTCCTAATGATAAGTATTTCAAGTAAAAAACTAAAGTTAACAGAAAGGTTTTACACCTACAAATCCACCAGTATATGCACGAATTTATTTATTTACGATACTATGTACATAATATACATACATATTACGTATATACATATGTGTACGCTGGTCAGATAAAATATTTAAAAGTATTACGTATACGCAATAGAGTAGTTCATAAAAAATTTAAATAAAGTTGACCGAAGACTATGGAGCAGCAATCGAACTTTTTTGATAATTAACTAACTATAATAATTATAAAATATGTTCTCCTTCGATTTGTGACATGCATATTGATATTGTCACCTACGTCCCTCCGTCCAGATTTACGACGACTCCAAGCGGTGATTGTATTTTTATGAAAAGCTGTTTTTCATGGCAGAATACACTTGGAGCTTTGCCACTGCCTGACGAGGGGCGACCGCTATTAGAAAAACTTGTTTATGCGTGAATAACTTTCGTGTCGATGCATTGCGGCAAATTTTTGTTTTGCAAATAATGACTAATGGAACGTACAATAATATTACCCCAAAACGCGATTTTAAAGCCATTGAGATGTCACTGATATTTAAAAAAAAAATTATAATTTTTATAAAAAAAAACTTTATGGCCAAATAAAAAATTAAAATGGGAAGAAAACACCATCATTCTCAATTCTTTAAAATATGAGCTGAATCGGTATTACCAATCGCGAGAAAACAATTAAAATCTAAACAATTTCGAAAAATGTTAATAGCTATAACTTCCAAAATAACTAGAATTTCGAAAAATTGTGAAACTAGTATTTTTCTTTAATCGTTATGAAGCATAAGCAGATGATTGCGTAAAAAAGCTCGACCTTCGAAAAAATGGTTGCCCACTTCACAAACTTTTACTCTAAGAGTTCGATGATAAAAATTTCGATAACCTTAAAAATAACAATGATGAAAAATCAGCAAAAACGAAAACTAAACTTAGCCGATAAATTTATCGATAACGGAAAATTATTAAAATATCCATAATAATTCCAATATTGGCAACGTTGATAAAAATATCGACAACTATCAAAAGTCGAAAACTAAAATAATTATTGGTATCGATAAAAATATCGATGCCTATGAAAATAACATCAGCAATAGCATTATCGATAAAAGCACTCAAAACAATAATAACAGTAATAGAGATAACCAAATTGATTATCGAAAACAATAATGATAAGTAAAACAATAACAAGTATGTATGTAGGTAGTAGAGTTGGATTTTTTAAATCACTGGAAGGATTAGTTCACTTCTAGTTCATTAAATTCATTGAAATAGCCACTATAGGCTCTTAGTTAGATCACCGCTTTGAACTAATTTTAACATAATAATTACTTAAGGTGTTCCTCAGTAACAATTTGAACAAATTCCCTGTCAGAGTCAGCTAATGATTCATTAACAGCATTTAATTTAACGATTCATTATAAAATTTTTTGTTTGTTTTCAATAAATTTCAATTTCGCTAACGTTGCTGTAACAGTACCAATGGCCCAGTGAGTAGAGCATTGGCATGTCATTCGAGAGATTCGAGTTCACTCCTCAGCAACGGATTTTTTTTATTTTTTAATAAATTTTTATTTTTTTTCTTTAATTTTTAAGTTTTATTGTTTAAAAAATAACAATTTTTTAATTTCCTTTAATGTGTAGAAACTTTTTCAATCATTTTTTTTTCTTTTTTTACTTTAATTTTGTAAATTTTTTTAGTTTTACGGCTATATTCTGTATCAGTGTCACTGTTTGTTTTACGGAAAAATTTGTCAGTAAAAAATTTTTGTCACCGATACAAAATTGGGCTATTATTGTTTAGTTTTACCAAAACTTATTGCTAAAATATAAATATAATAACGGTAAGGCTTCCTCGTTAGCAGATCTGCCAATTAGTCATTCGAGATACAGAAAAGAGCTTTCAAGATAGTTTCCGGAATAGAAAGACTTTTGTCTTTTGAAAGACAGATGCCAGAATTGGCCTGTTAGTGGCTTTGTTTGTATTTTAGCAAACCGTTTCTAAAAACTGCATTAAATTAAAAATATTAGTTTCCATTTTAAAACAACCAAATCTGCAAATCAAAAGAAAATTGAATTAAAAAACAAAAAAATTAATAAATAAAGTTTCTGAAGATTAAACAAGAAAAAAATAAACAAAAAAAAGAAAAAGAAAATTTTCCTGCCCGAGGACTCGAACTCGGATCTCTCGAATAGCACACTAGTGCTCTGCCCACTCAGCTATTGCGACTGATGAGGCAGTGCGCGCAAAATTATATAAATACTTATTTTTTTCATTTTTTTTTTATTTCAAACTGAACGAAAAAAGTGAGAAATATATTAAGCGGGTTCGCAAAGTACCATCAAGGTCATGTTATGAATTTTTTCAGTGTTAAAAGATAGTTGGTTGTCGTTTCAAGATCTCTAAACATTTATTTAAGCTTTTAAAGTTTACGACATACAACAATACGACACTTAC